GTACAATAAATAAGTAGATACACGATAAAAGAAACATTTTCATTAACTAAATTCACTCAAGACACACAAAAAGTGGTCCTGCGCGAGCGTGCATGTGCGCATAGCAATACCACATGCAGAGGGGCTCGCGCTGCAGAGCGTACAGAGACAGTGGGAAGCACAACCCGCGAGCAGCGAGCGCGAGGCACAGACCGCGAGCTGTGTGAACTATAAGTGGACCCAACACGGTAAGAATTTTAAAGTGATCTAACTATACTTATAATGTGTTTTAAATGTATAATAAGTTATACGTTCATGTATTTAAGTTGTGGAAACCACGTTGTCATGGTGATTTAAAGTGACAACGACACGTTACCACATGATGTATGTTGTGTTTTAGATAAACATGTTTTCAGAGACACGTTTTAATGCAGATTCAGTGTAGCCTACTGCTCAGTTTATCACCTAAAAATCAGCTTTTTCCTCTTTTAACAATGAGCTTGAAGGAACAAATGAATAAGTATTAAGCTACATCACTGTAAATGTTGGCAACTGCCCGTAAAGTCACTCCAGCTGAAACATGAAGCATTGTTTGGTGGATTTTTCAACAACTTTACAACCACTAACATTGAAAAGGTTTAGGATACATGAAGAAAAACTTCCCTAAATAGCGGAAACTAGTTCTACAAATGTTATTACTAAGTCTAATTGTACCAATAATTTCACAATAACTTGTTTTGATTGTGCAATAAGGAGTTAAGGAAGACCATTAATATATATGCTTCTCCATACTGTAGTGAACTCTTACCCAAATGGGATATTTCCCCCCCTTATTACTTCTGGGACTCCTCGTTTCCACTCCTCTTCTGCAGAGCATTGATTTATGTGATGTTGCTGGAATGAAAAGTGCTGCGCAGGGGGTGGAAATCTGGCTTTCTGGAAGCCAAACAGATGAGGAGGCTTGTTTTAATCATTAGTCTCATGGTATCACTGACACGGAGCTGCTTTACTCCCAGGGGCCCTTGAGCAAAGAGGGCCCTCAGTGACAAGATGACAATTTATTTTTTATTTTCACAACCTCACTCATCATACATTGTTTTAAATTACACTCACTCTTCGCCATAAATAACACAGCTTTTCTATAGGGTCAAATTAATATATTTTCTAAACCGTCTCTGTACTGAAGGTCTCACTCAAGCCCCCAGGAAGTGCGCCAGACTCTGATGAGAATATTCGTTGTGGCCAAACGGCAGTACTACACCTCCGTTTGGTTGCTGGGCCCGGAAACACTTTTTCCCATTGATTTACATCGGGAAAGAGTGGTCTGTAAATCGTTGGATAATTTTTTTTAAACTACCCAGTATGAACGTTTGTATAGCCCTTATTAAAAACATTCGGTCCTCAAGTTGTAAAATGTGCTAATAACATTATTCTGAGAGTTATTTCCCTCAGCATTATGAACGCGCCTCTAACCCACGGGACCGCGCTGCCCGGCACGTTCGTAACTAATACAACTCCTTGTGTACTTGTACAGCCAGCCAGTCATATTTTGGCATTAAGTGGGGTGCTGCTCTGAGGTTTTGAGTGATATTACCTAGGTATTCCTGAGCCATACACTGTCTTGGGATCTTATCCATTGTATCTTTGTCTTGTGATTTTTTACTAAAAGGGCAAAAGGCTAGACCTACTTTGGTTGAACTATGTGGCTGAGTCCCTGCTTTTGACAAATGGGTGTGCGATTTGACATGCCAGATTGACTGAAAATTCTAAATATTGGTCATGTTGGTATGATTAGGTAGGCGTGGTGTTACTTGTTGGTACGTGGGTTGGGGGGGGGGGCCATGAGCGCTCAGTGCCGTACTAATCCGGCCTTGCCAGTGCTCCCATTGCACAGAGGTGTAGAGTGCTGAGTCACATTAATTTCATCATATACCTCATTTAATTATATGTGGCAATTAAAGGGTAATAAAAAAGATGTGTGCTGCTCCGTAAAATACACCATTTCGTCAATGCCTTTTGGAGGTTGATCAGGATGTTGATCAATACTGAGTGATTATGTATTACAACAGATTGATTGTTCATGTGCTCAGATGGAGCCATAGGAGCGAAAGACAACAAGGAGCCAAGATTTGTTTCACGTAATAGTTCATATTGATTTCACACCTCAGAAACAACAAAAGCATTTCAATTATACAGGAGGCTGGCTTTTTCAAAATACAAACAACAGTTTTAATATGTTTTCATCATAGTGAAAGAATGAACCCCCAAAACAGAATCCATTGATTCTCCATGATACTTGTGATGTTGTAGATGACTTATAATTCATTCAGTGGCACATTTAATTGAGTTTATTGGCAGCTACATGTATATGCGCCAATATTGAATACATTCAGGGTTAGATGAGGACACACAGAAAGCTCAGTTTGAATAAGCACATACATTTTGATGCAACGCTTTGTTCAAGTTTTGAAATTGGTAATCTGCTGCAGACTGTGTGATAACGTGAAACGCTCCCAAACCTGCAAGAAAGTGGACCTTGAGTCAAAGCTGTTACATGACAAAAAATAATCTTAACTCAAGGTATTTCTGGAGTTATCAACCTCATAACCTTCAGCAGCGATGAATTATGACAACTCAGAAAGAAAGCTGTATTCGACCTTGTGTTGAAATGAAAAGTCTGCCTCTTCTTAGTGTCTGCTTGTGTTGATGCACTTTATGAATCTGCACCTTTACAGAGACATTTAAAAAAGTTGTTTCTTTCTTGTCTGAGTTTGAAAAAGTTGGTTTATAAACACAAACACTATGCTCTAAATATTCCTTAAAGCTCTAGGCTTACAGTTTCCTCCTGTGGGATTGGAGCACAAAAACATGACATTCGTATTTATCTTTTGATCAAATGTTTGGACAGAAATCGAATTATCCCCAAAGCTAATACATTAACAAGCATATCCCTAAACAGAAAAACACAAATGGCGGTAAATTAAAAACACCACATGTAGAAGAAACCAATTCAGCTCTTAGGGAAAATATGGAGTTACTAGAGCTCTTTTTATTATGTAATCTAGTTACACCCTCTTCTTACTACTTGCTGCCAGTCGATGGAAACACCTGTTGAGAAAATCTGCCTTTTGTTTACTTTGAGTAAATATAACAATTTGAGAAATGTTTGGAACTTATTAATGCAATCCCCTCTGGTGGACGACAGAGGTCATTTAAGTCCCAGTACACAATACCCCTTAAAAACTCATGTTTACACAGATGACCTAATGTATTTCATTAGGGGTTCAAAGTGACTTAGAGACTAGTCCCATCATATGGGAGTTATTAGTCTCAGGCAAGAAACAAATTTGCTTTCTCTTACATAAATATTTGGTACCATGAAAAGAAACAGCCTGCAGTATGAATTTGTCACATCCGATCTCCTGCTAGTTTCAACTGCTGCTTTTTGACAGCGCTGCCTGGGTTCATAGTTTTCTGATGAAATAATGTGTCACTTGTTTTTCTCCTCTGCGCTCCCTACATACCTTTCACGGACATTCACAGTGATTGCCCTATAAGCAGAACTCGTTTTGCTTCAGAAATGTTATTCCTGGCTTAGAGGTGCCTGCTCTTTTGCAACACCCAAGGGTGACACAGCGGGGTAATAGGACTCGCTGTGAGTATCAGACGTAACTGTTTCAACATTGTTTCTGGTGTGTATTAACTGCAGGCAAATGTCTTTTTAAATCCTGTTTACTTGAGAAGTTATTTCAATTCCAGGAAAATGTCTTCTCAACAGAGTCCAGTAAATTAGTGGGATTTTAATAATTCCATGATACATATTTTTATCTACATGATCATTATAAACTCCAGATCCTTGCTTGGGGTTTTTCTCAAAATACGTTATATTGAAACAATGCATTAATGACATGTGCATGTGAGTATTCAGCCTCTTTGGTTTAGGTTCCATATTTAGTTGCACGCAAACCCATTTTTCTTTCTGCTTTAATGAGTTGCTGGACAGTAGTGGATTAAGTATCCAGATCCTTTATTAAAGTACATGTTACAATGACTACATTACATGTGAAGTCCAAAACAGCCTTCACAAAAAAATATGATTTAGAAAAAACTACATTTTAATGTGCGTGAGTGTAAAGAGAGGGGCCACGTAAATGGACTGTACTTATATAGCGCTTTATCTTGCCCAAGGATACATCGACATGTTGACTGCATGGGCTGGGATCGAACCCACAACCATCTGGTTGAAAGACGACCGCACTCCCTCGCAGCCACAGTCGCCACGTGCATTTATTAAGGCCATAATACATGACGTAAAAATACTTGGTTTCTACTTTTATTTATAATTATTCAACATTTTGGCCAAAACAATAGACAGGTACATTGATTGATTGGAAAGTGTATTAACAGCTTGTATATTGGGTACAGTACAGTACAGCTCAAAACATACAATTGTTAAGGGGATGCAGACCAGAGAAAGACTTTCGTCTTGTTTACATCAGGGTCCCCCATTTCCAATTCATCATGTCATTTAAGACATATAAGACCTATTTGACATACAGATGGCTTATTTACAATTTACATACAGGTGGTTTTTTACATACAGATTGCTTATTTACAATTTTCATACAGTTACAAATATTCTAGGGGTCAAAGGGTAAGTCAATTAAATCTTGAAAAAAAGGATTTAGCACTTCACACAATATTAACATTTGCATATCAATCATCAGAAGGTTTTGGCTTGGTAGAATGCTCAATAAGTTGTCTATATTGTTGTATTTCATACTGTATACAACGTTTTTTCGAGTTATATTAACTTTTGTGATTGTGAAAGATAATAATAACATGATACTAATATGATAATAATTTGTAATGGTGTTTTAAATGGGCTGTGCTCGATAAGACGCACAACGTCAAGTGGCCTATGCTTAGAGAAAGCATTGCGCATGCTCAGAGCTAATTGTCCGTTGCTGAGCTGCATTCTGATTGGTTGTTTGTCAAGTACTGTTGTTGTCACGTGTAAGTGGTTGGAAAGTAACGTCCACTCCGGTAACCATGGGCGAGGTGTTTTTTTCTTCAACAACACGAATTTAAAAGTCTGCTTTTTTGGGATTAAACTCCTCTGAGCTCACCAGCCTCTGGATATTGTGATAAACCAAACCTCTGGTAACAAAAAAACATATGTCATATGGTGCTGTTCTCCGTGAAAAAATGGCTAACGGCTAGTTTGTAAGAGACGTTTTTCCCCTTCGCGTTTTCTGCGGCGATGGTAACGGAAACGTACCTGGTCAGAAACAGACTTTCCGGATTTCAAGCTTCTTTCTAAAGGGATTATTAAACATTAAAGCAGCATGATAATAAGTTACAACTGTACCAACATAGCTACCCAAACAGACGGCGAAGTTAACCGGGGAGTTAATGAGAACAGGTATGTGTCGATAATCGCCGTTCAATTGAACACTTCCGGTTTTTGTGTGTAGAAAGTAGTATGTTTCAGAGTGGAACTGTGAAAAGTGTACATACAAAGTCAATCAAAAACTTTGTTTGTCTACGACAGTAAAATGCAACAATATTATCTAGAAATGTCACATATACTATATCAATATAATTATATACACACAAGGCCATTTTCTGCACAATTTGTACTTTTAAGGAATGATAATACTTTTACTTAAGTACGATTTTGAATGCATGACTTTTACTTGCAATTAAGTATTTGGACCATAATATTATTTGTAAGTATTGGTACTTTTACTCAAGTAAAGCATAATACTTCTTCCACCACTGTCTATATAGGCCTATAGCTTGAAATGTAGGTATTGAACGCTACTTGATTTAACTGAATGATATTTATTTAATCTAATAGTGGAAAGCCAAATAGCAGTTTCATGCTATGTATTAAAACTATGATAAATTGCATCAAAAATAAATTAAATTAAATGTAGTAGTTGGTAGTTCTCCAGTTCACTTATTGCTTGCTTGGTTTGGCAGGTTATAGTTAAATCAGCCATGCTGAATGTCATATTGTTCTGAGGTCCAGTAGCTACAGCCTTTTGAGATGTGTTGTTCTTCATTTCAAAGCAGTACCCGTAGTTTTTTGGCCACGTGGGCACAATGTCTGACATAGTCAAGTTGATATGGCAGTTTATTTGAACATCCAGCAGATATTGACCAACATTAGCCTGTATTTTGAGTCATGTTTCTGGCCTCTGAATTCATCTAAAACCAAAAGTAATTTTCCTTTTAGTTCTGCTTTAGATTCCACCAACTCTGTTGAAATGTTTGGCTCTTTAGCTGCTAAATTCCTTTATGTTCACCCGCCTGAGTAACTGTGTCTGTCAGCTGTATGATGCTGAGCAGAAAGCGTATAATATACATTGCCATTGCAATTTTAATATGAAAAATACTGATTAGCATTGCTTTAAGGATAGATTTACTTCTGCTGGCTAAATGAGTTTGACAACCTATTGATTCTACTTCATGAAGCTGCGGTGTTTCAAGTTTGTAGATGATTACACAAGGCATATATAAAGGATAACACAATAAAGCTAATTAGTTTATAACCCATGAGGTCTTTGGTGGGAGGTAGGAGTTACAGCAAGTTTTTATTAAATCAGTGCAACAGCAGGAAACTATATTACAGCATGCAAATTGGAAAATATAATGCAGGAAGGCCGAACAGTCTTACACAATGAGAATATTGTGTCTAATTGAAATGACAGTCTAACGGCCCGTCCACACTACAGCTTCAAAAAAAGCTTGGAGCTGGGCGTGTCTGAAGCTCGACCAATAACCAATCACATGAATCTCCCGCCCCTGACACACAAGCAGCGGTTTGATTGGCTAGAGCTTGTACTGGCATGTGATTTGATTGGCTGACGCTTCCACCGAAAGCTTCAGAAGCTTCAAAAGTTGAACATTGCTCAACTTTTGCAGCCTGAAACGCCAGGAAAGCTCCGCTCTGCTTCCCACAATGCAGTTCGGCGAAAAGTGACGTCACCCCATTCAAAGTGAATGGGCAGAGGCGTCGGAAACCGTTTTTGAAGCTGTCGAAGCTGTAGTGTGGACGGGCCGTTACAGAGTATTTAGTCGCCAGTAGCAACATAATGTACTGTTATTGCATGAGTTAGTTTTGGGACATGTACACTTAAGAGAAGACCATGTCGAGGGGGGAATTGCAATAAAGTTTAAATATTATAACTGGAAGCCACATAAAGCTAACATAGAAGTATAACAAATAAAGCAGTTACATTAAAAGGGATCTGTCAAGATTGATGATGCCTCGCAGAAAATGTGAAGTAGATGCAGAGCACACAAACCTTTCGGCGTTTCATCCGCTCCCAGAGGAAAGACCAATTTACATTTCAAAGTTTAAGTACAAAAAATGAGTGTTTTAAAGGATCCAGAGGGCCAGCTAAAATCACAGGGAGAAATGTTAAATATAAACTGAAATATGAGTTAGTGATGAGTTATACAGTGATGCTCAGACAGAAAATATGTTGGTATATTTTGACAGTATTAATTCAAATTGAGTGAGTTTGCCTTTTTTTCTCCTTACCGCACTTTCTCTCAGCTTCATTCCTTCCCCTCCGATCCCAAGTGTAATGCAATACGACTCCAAAACTTTCACTGTCTTATTTTAGAAAGCTATTGTTTTCTAGTAGTAGTGGTCTGGCACACAAATCAGGTTCTCACATCCCAATGCTTCAAATCTGTGGCCATTCAAATGCATTGAAGTAAATGATTATATCTGTATATATTGTACACATTTGCAAATAGCCCATGAAATAATAATTGTAATCCCACAATATACATAGTTTACATGACTTGTGTATGTATTATTTGTTATTCGCAGAGCTGTTCGTTGTGCGTTGAGGTGTGTGTGTACAGTAGGTTTGTTCTCCTATGACATAATTAAGAGCAGTGCTTCATGCAGAGCTGGAAAGTGTTGCTTCACATAGTCCTGCCTGATCTATTGACAGAAACATTGAAGTTTCGCCAAACACACTGCTATAAAAAACCCACTCGAGGCAAAACATCATCTATTTTTACGAGGTTTCAAAGACCATACACCATCCAAAATGTGTTTTCAAAGACACATTGAAGTTGGTCAGTAGTACCACACCAGACTCAGTCCATCATAGGAGAGTTTTAGCAGACGCCTTGAGAAGCCGCTCCTATTTCAAGATGCTGGCAGGCCTTGGAGTCTCAGTCCAGTCCATAAGCGCTGCTTCTGCTGTATCTGGTTCACTCTGCTCACACTGTCTTGTGGTTTGGAACGATCCACTGTCATTTCACTGGAATTTCCTGCCATCTGCGCTCAGTCAGAGTTTCTCACAGATCCACACCTGCTTGTAAATGTTTAGCTGCGCCAAGAGGAGAGCACGGAGGGATAGGTGAGCACTGATGAGGGCGAGATCCACACCGCCCTTTGCTTTGTGAGACTTAAACCCACTTATTTGTTAAGGGAATGGGATTTTTCATTGGAGACAGCACTTTAGCTGCTGAAACAGGATGATTAGATGTCAACGTCAATCTAAGAAAATCACTTAAACATGTTGACATTTCCAGAACTCATTAGTTATTTCCTGCAATTTCACTCTTGTCATATTTTCATATTATTTACTACATACCAGATTTTAGATCCTTGGTTTCACCTAAACAAACAATACAACAATGTACAAATCCTCTGACCTTTTTAAAACCTTGCCTTGGGCTTTGAGAAACTGGGAGGGACATTTTATAGAACAAATGATTACCATGTATTCTAGGAAACAATCGGCAGTTATGGGCAATTAAAATAATTGGTAATTACAGCTGTTTACAAGCACTTCAGTCTCACCATTCTTTTTCTTAATTGGACAATTTGAAGAATAAGTAGTGATGTTAAGATGTATTCCGTGAAGCTACAGCCATTAGCTGCTTAGCTTATCATAAAGACTGGAAATGGAGGGAAGCCTGACTTTGTCATATGATAACAAAAGCCAGCTATCGGTCCTGAGTGTTATGTGCAGAACGCACTGCTGCAGATGCTGACTCTGATGGACTGCAGCTGCGATTATGATTTCAACATCGGGATGAGAAAACTGTAATCGTATATGTGCTTTGGTTCTTATGGTTGGTCCATCGTTACAATAGGTGTGAAGCTAACTACAACAAATCACAAATGTGATAAAAATCCAACAATTCCCTCTTAACTGTAGCGAAGTAGAAGTGTAAAATAGCATGAAATGAAAATACTCAGGTAAAGTATGTACAGTAGTACAGTTCCTACCCTCTCCGTGTATGTGAACATAATGGAAAAACAGACACAAGAAGAATTTTAGAAAGAACATCCAGTAAAAATAAACAATAAGAAAACACTCTTCTGTTATCTCAGAGATACAGTACATTTCACATCTCTAAAAACTCTATTTGAAGTATAAACCATAGAAGAAGAGCCCCGGGAGGATCACTGTGTCTAAAGTTAACAGCAGTTCAAGCCCCTTGCTAAGATGACATGCATGAGTTCTCGTCCAATAACACGTTCTTATTTTGTGCAACACGAGACCGTGTTAGTCACCTGCTCCCACTGAGTTTACTCTGACCCAAACTGCCTCTCAAAATCTCAAAAGGGCCAAAGAATGTATTTTTGGCCTCAATAGAACAAAACAAAGTAGCCTGCAGTATTATCAAATTGGGAGTGTTCGCTTATCAATGAAACAAATGATCCAATTTGTCAAAATAACTGAGGAGATTTGCAGACACTGTGAGAGTTTTAGGATTGACCACACTGATCATGTTCATGACTTGAGGTCAATCGGGGGTTAAATCACTCGTGTGTTCAAGGAGGACATTACTGCATTTAAGAGGGTCATACCAGTACACGGATCATACCAAGTAATGCAAGACCCACCTTTATCAATACAGATACAAATAGCCTACTAATGTTTAATTGTCTGATTACATTCTTAGTATAAGTTCTTAGTATGACACGTCGGGTGTTAACCCACTGTTTATACATAAAGATATATTTACATTCATGTCGATGATACAAGACTACGGGGAACAACAAATGCAGTGTGTTTAAGGCTGACAGAAGCCACCAGAAGACAGCGGCGCCTGAGGGTCCTCGGCATCCTCAAACACACTGCCAGAGCAGTACGTTCCGTGTTGTCCTGTAGCAGGCACCGCCGATGTCGGGGAAACGGTCTTCAATACTGCGAAAAGAATCCCACCAGACTCCTTTGCCCCTTCCTTTGATTTCCTTGTCCTTTTTCATTATTTCAAGCGATAAAAACCCTCGATCTTCTCTCGAATTATTATAATTTTTTGGACAGTATCTCACATGGATACAGTTAATGTAAATGTTGTGGATATGTGCCTGATGAGAAAGGTGTTCATATATCCTTCATATGCCTAAGTATCAGTCCTATTTACACAAGTATC